CCCTTTTCCTCAATTTTTTCGAAAAAATAATAAAAACTTAAAACCAACTTACTCGATCAACAAATTTGCAAGTTTGTGCGGCCACCAGCACTGGAATATTGGAAGCGGATGCGACTAAAGCCACCTGACTGGTACCTCGCTCGGCTACTGCACAGCCATGAGATAAAATTGCCGAGCAACCCAGCAGAACCAACTGACACTAAAAATGTCGAAAATCAAGTATCGGACGATGAATATCACGGCAAAAGGCCCAAAAAAACAGACAATTACTCGGCTCGGCTCATGTGGGTTCGTCAGTACTTGACTATCCCAGGCTCTCTCTTGTCATGAATTCTTGTGACTTCAACAGCATCACACTGTTGCTTTTTCCACCCATGTCGCCCTTCTCCCCACTCCCCCAACTTGTTTTAGAAATTTCAGATATACAAACAATGAAAATCTCCGGCTAGAAGACTGGAAGAGGGCAAGGGACCAGAAATCGTCTATGCATTAACACATACAGTTTGTTTGGTGTTGCTGGCCCAACGCGGAGAGGAACACAGTCGAATTTTGATAATAAAAACACAGTGGAAGTAGCGCCATCTAGATGCCCCAAATAAGTAAGCCGGTATGTACAGCCTCTATATTACTCAGTGCTCGGAGAATGTCACTTAGTGTTCGAGAGAGACGTTACCGAAGCGCCTGGAGAAACGACATCCGTTGTGATATTTCATTAGCATTATCTCACTATAAAAGCCGAGCCGAGCCGAGTTACAGTAAACGCCCGCAAAAAAAATATTTTAACAGTATTCTCGTGACAACCAGTCCTTCTACGATTCGTTCATTTGACTGAATCTTAAACTGCTGCCGGCATACGTCAGCCAGTGTATTAAAACTCGTACGAAAAGGTATTATCCCCCTCTCCCGCGACAGAATCACGTGCTTGCTGTTGGTAGTTGCTACCAATTTGGCATGCCTTATCGTCTAGGTCACTACCATCCACAAATACAATGAAGGAAAACTAACCTCCCGGATTACATAGCCAATTGATGCTAACATACCGTAGCTGCATTTTATACCCCGACTGCATAATGTTTCTAATAGCTGCTTGCCTGAAAACAGATATCTGCAAATATAATCCTGCAGAAATCAAAATCTTTTTCTTAACATTTGAACTAACCAAAAAAAAAAAAAACCAGATCTTGCTCCACCTAATAGCAATCTGTGCTTCCATTATGCCTACCTTCGGATATCCCCCTCAAACAAGCAGTAAAATATTAGGGAGGAATACTAAATTTCTTGACGGTTTTAGCACCGTACTATACCAAACAAATAAAAACTCGGAAAGCCAGAAACAGGCGGATTCAAGTCGAAAACATAAACCAATGGGTCTTTTGCCCGCACCCCTTCCCCCTTGTCCCTGCAGTCTGTGCAGGTACATCAGTGCTACAAAAATCCAGGTTTAAAGCTAAAACTAAAAAAAATTCTCTCCTTCCCAACTCCTTCCCCTCCTCTGTCGTTGGTATATCACAAGCCCCATCCCTCCTTCCCCAGGGAGCTGCCCTGGACCCGCCTGTGTTTGGAAACGAGTAGTATTTACTTAAACCTATGCAGAATTATGATACGGTCAAAACAGTGGACAAAAAAAGTCTACGGCTTTTACGTGGATAAGAAAAAGATACACAAAACGCATGGCGCATATCAAATGATTAAATTTCTCAAACCTTTTCCCTCTATGGGTGAATCCAGAACATGCACATGAAATGATAATCCACGGTTATGCGCATCCAATATAATCCTTTCCACAACTGGGCACCTTAAAAAAACTCATGATATATAAGCCATGTATTTCATTCTCCTACAAGAAATATCTAAATAAAACAGAACTGAATGCTCCCAGTACTAAAGTACAGTTCTGTCTTTCACTGGTCATGCATGCCAGGGATATCCCTAACTTATAAATTTGATGGTTGGTAATGGTAAGAAATGTATACGATTTAATGGACCGAAACATTTTTTAACATTGTAACAATCTTACTAATTTTCCAATTCTTCTTTTTGATTCTTCTTATTTCATCCCCTGTTAATATACCTTTCTATTGAAACCTCATAAAAATTACATAACACTTCTTATGTGGATTTGACTTTGATTGAGTGAAAAGTAATCTTTCCACAAAAATTACTCGTTCATTTTTAACCATAAACTGATATCGGCCCATACCAGGCGGTCGAATTAGCCATCAGCTTGCTTCTAAGTAACCCTCAAAAGAGGAAACCAGCGACAGTCATGCGAACCCGCAGCGGTGCTATTTATACCTGTTATTTGTTCAAGCTATCCTCATGTGCTTCATTCCTCACAGAAAGTGAAAACAGAAGAAAAGTTTTGATTTTTGACTTACCAAGAGTATGTGAGCAAAGACGTTATATTTTGTAATTTC